AAGGTGCATGGGACAAAATCTGAGCTGGAAGGGCACTGAGAGATGACTGGCCCTGATGTGTACTATATGAACCATTGCCGGATGATGCACCACGATGAACTAGACGAGCCATCTGAGCATGCCTATAAGAGCAACCCCTTTCGTGGTAGAAGTGACCTCCAGAAGGAACACCACTAAAACCTCCTGACCCACGAGGCCTCTTGGACTCCCTCTCAACCCGCTCCTAACTGCGAACCATCTCTATCTGGGGGGCAATGTCAACAAGATCGTCAAAAGTAGCACCAGATACCCTCTCCCTAGTCATAAGCAACCGCAACTGATATGTGAGGCCATCAATGAACCTCATGATCCTTTTCCTATCATTGGGAACCAACCAAACTGCGTGACGAGCCAACTCAGAAAACCTCATCTCGTACTGCGTCATAGACATGCCATCCTGACGAAGCTGCTCAAACTGTCTGCGCAGTTCCTCTCTAAAAGAATGCGGCACAAACTTCTCCAAGAAGAGAACAGAGAACTCCTGCCATGCAAGTGGTGCGGCACCGACTGTCCTGCACCTCTCATAAGCCTCCCACCATCTGAATGCAGCCCTAGAAAACTGAAAGTAGTGAATGAGACCCCAGTGGTCTCCAGAATACCCGCTGTCTGAAGCATCCGCTCGCACTTATCCAGAAAGCCCTAAGAATCCTCTAACTCAGCACCGCTAAATGATGGAGGTCGAAGTCTCCCAAATCTCTCAAGTCTTATATGCTCATCATCAGCCATGACGGGGACTACCGGGGCCTGAGCAGCTGTAACCGGCTGGATTAGTGGTACCCCCAGTATCTGAAATCCCTGCACTACCTGCTCTAGAGTACGGGAAACAACGTTATGAGTACCTCCCCCGGCCTGAGAAGTGGAAGGTGCGGCCTGAGCCGAAACCACCTGAGCAAGACCACTGCAAACTATCAATATCTTGGCCAAAGCCTCTTGAAGGCCTGGAATCACAATGGGCACAGATGGTGATTGGGTTGGCCCCACTGGCTCAAATGTATCGGGTACCTTCTCCTGAGCTGGAGCGACTAATGGGTCTGCAAGTGCTTTCCTAGTTGTTGTACGAGCTGCACCCATGCCCCTACCGCGGCCACTACCGCGACCTCGGCCTCTGGCGGACCTAGCTGGTAGTACTGGTGGCTGTCCATCCTGCTCAGTAGTACGTGTCCTCACCATCTGTGAGAGAATAGAATAACAGAAGTTTAGTTACCGGAATCAACAAATCTGCACGACAAGAATACAAGATTGTGAAATTTCCTAAGGGTTCGGTAGCCTCTTGAAGATAAGTACATACGTCTCCGTACCGATCCGCAAGACTCTACTAAACCTGCTCATGACTCATGAGACCTATGTAACCTAGGCTCTGATACCAACTTGTCACAACCCAAAACCAACTATCGTGATGGTGCCTATCATTGAACTAGGCAAGCCAACTACTCAACCAAGTCAACCAAATAAAAGCTTTGAAAATTTAACAGAAGCAGTTAATATTTAAGAAAAACCCTTTAAAAACTGAAATAAAGCCACAATGCAATACAAATCTCTCCCAAAATCGGAGTGTCACCGAGTACATGAGCATCTATACCAGGATACAACCTACTACAATATCTGAAGAATAAGAACGTAAATACAAATAAAGATAATGAAGGAGAGTCAAAGTTTGCGAACTCCATGCAGATACCTCGATAGTCTCTGAGATCTCGACTCCTCACTCAGCAGTCGCCGTAACCAGAAGCACTTGAATCTGCACACGAAGTGCAGGGCGTAGCGTGAGTACAACTAACTCAATAAGTAACAAGTTCAAAACTGAAAATAGTGACGAACTCAACCGGCACAGTTCAATATAGAAATAACTGTGCAGAAACGTAGACATGCTTTCAAGTTCGATAGATATCTCAAAACAGTAAAATGGATCAATCTGAATGATATGAAGAATATAACTCATCTACTTCTACATGCCGATGCACATATTGTATATGATACACCATGCTGATAGCCTCATGTGCTCATACTCTCAAATGCTCAATCACTCAGTATTGTATATGGCCCATACGGCCTAGGGAAGATCCATCCCAAAATATATACATCACTGACCATCAGTCACCCAGTACTAAGTAGGGCTAATCCAGCCCATGGAGAAGATCCATCTCCAAGTATATAATGCTCTCATATAAGATCCATGTCCAGGGAAGATCCATCCATCAATATAATCAATCGCGCTCACTGGGGGTGTGTGAAGACTACGGAGGGGATCCTTCAGCCCAAGCACTATCATAAATCAGTATAACTGATGCGGCGTGCAGCCCGATCCCATAAATGTCTCTCATAATCAGGCCCTCGGCCTCACTCAGTTATCAATCTCTCTATTATCTCTCTCACGGGCTCACAATGTCATGATACTAGCCCGAAAATAATGATATGATGTATCAATAAATAACAACAGAGACTGAGATATGATATGAAATGAATGAATATGACTGAGCACAAAATATCAACGAAATCAGTAAGAGAACAGCAAGAAACGACCACTATGGGCCCTAACAGTACCGGCATAAAGCCTAAACATGAAATCTAGCATGAGTGACAGCTCAATTACTTTATCACATGATGAAAACAAGGATATCAATAAGAAAGAACCATTATAAAGTGCCATGGAATCGATCAGGTCGCAATTCTCACATTGCACGCCCGCACGCCCGTCACTTGGCATGTGCGTCACCTCAATACCAATCACAAAACACATACATTCGGGGTTTCGAACCCTCAAAACCAAGTTTAGAAGTGTTACTTATCTCAATCCGAGCAATTCCCAACTCCAATACGCCTTTACCTCGCAAATCGGCCTCCAAATGACCCGAATCTAGCCACAAACAGTACAATACAATTAATGCGGGCTAAAGGAATCAATTCTACAAGAAATTACTAAGTTATAACTCAAAATCCGAAATTAGTTCAAAATCGCCCCCGGGTCCACATCTCGAAATCCAACAAAACTCATAAAATTCGAAAGCCCATTCACTCACGAGTCTAGTCATACCAAATTCATCAAAATCCGACACCAATTGGTCGTTCAAGTCCCCAAAATCAACTCTCCAAATCCCTAGCCTCAAACCCCCAAATTATACCTCAAAAATACACCAACTAGGTGGAAAATCAGTGGGAAAACATAATTATTGAAGAAAGATGAACGCAATGAACTTACCTCAAGAATCCTTTTGAAAATCCTCTCAAAAACCTCCAAAATCCGAGCTCAAAACGTTAGAAAATGAAGAAAATCGTGAACCCTTATGTTTATATGTTCTGCCCAGTCAAACCACACCTGCAGTCCCAAACTCCGCTTCTGCGGTCCCGCTTTTGCGGTGCAAACTCCGCACCTGCGGAAGTCCCTTAACTCACCTAGGCTAAGTTCTTGCACCTACGAAGGCGCTTCTGCAGCCCATGATCTGCTTCTACAGAAGCAGCCTGCACCCCTCAACTCCCTCACACTCCGCTTCTGCGCCCTCTTTGCCGCATCTGCGGCCTCGCAGGTGCGGAAAGGACCTCGCACCTGCGACCTCTGCCAATTCCTTCCTGGCCCGCTTATGCAGCTCCCTTCCCGCTTCTGCGGGCTCGCATCTGCGGTTCCCAATCCACAGGTGCGATTACACCAGCATTTGCAAATCTTCAGCAATTCTTCAACTTTAAACTTGGTCCGTTAACCACCGGGATTCAACCCGAGGCCTCCGGGACCTCGACCAAACATACCCAACAAGTCTTAAAACATCATACGAACTTAGTCGAGCCTTTAAATCATCTCAAACAACATCAAAAACATGAATCGCACCCCAATTCAAGCCTAATAAACTTTAAAATTTTTAAATTCTACAAACGACGCCGAAACCTATCAAATCACGTCCGATTGACCTCAAACTTTGTACACAAGTCACAAATGACACCACGAACCTACTCCCACTTCCGGAATCCCAATACGACCCCAATATCAAAAAGTTCATCCCCGGTCAAACTTTCCAAAATTTCAACTTTCACCATTTCAAGCCTAATTCAACTACCGACCTCCAAATCACAATCCGGACACGCTCCTAAGTCCAAAATCACCCAACGGAGCTGTTGATCCGGCGAAACAAACATAGCAATAAGCCTATACTGTTATTTAGTTCAAATAAACCATTTAATGGGTGGTATTTTAATTTTAATTTTTTATTTAATGGGATGTAATTTTAATATTAAATAGAGGATAATTTGGTCATTCAACTTTTGGGATATTTTTGTAAAATAACTTCTCCTAAAAGTGTTCATGCTTATAATATAGTATGATATTTTTACAAGACATAAAGTCTTAACTTCACATAATAATTATAATATTATTAATTATATTAGTAAAGGTTAATTTAAGTTAATAAGATGTTACTCATGTGTTTGTAATATATCACCTTTGATCTTATTTTAAAAACTCTATTTATAATATAAAGATTTGAGTAATTTAATTTAAAATTTTAAAATATTTCTGTTGTTAAAAACTAGGTTCTTTCTTTACAAAGATGTAATTTTTTCCGCTTTCAACAAACTTCAATATTTTCTAACCTAAAATAAAATTATAAAATATCTCTCTCTCTCTCTCTCTCTCTCTCTATATATATATATATATATATATATATATATATATATATACGAGAAGGATCATTTTAGTTTAATGTTCGATAGTTTGTAGTGCTATTCATGTTATTGCTAAGATAATGCCTACTTATTTAAAAACGAAAAACCTCTCTTTGTATTATTTTAGTTCAAAATTTAGCAATTGTAGTGCTCCTC